CCCGAACAACATTACCCTGAGGAGATGATCGTCTGCAATAGCAGGAAGAGCTGATGCAAGTACTTTGAAATCCACTATCAAGTCGGTGCTATTGTTGTAATGATCACTGTGAGGTGAGATATTTTGTGTAAGGGCTGAGTGTAATGCCCAGGAGATGACCTCCATTCGCCCCCTGACCGGTCAGGGTTATAAAATTTGAGTGGATGCCGGTTCGTTTGGGGTTCAGATGTCAATTGTATTTTGTTACTGTCAAACAATACATGTTATGCTGGCAGCGAATGTGTGTAACGTCGGTTTTCGAAACAGAAGTTAGAACTGTAACGGCAGAGTGCTTGCTGGTCTCATCGTAAGTATTGTAAGTGTTGTAAGGCGCAAAAGCATTGTCAATATTGTAAGTATTGTGAGCATTGATGTATGGTAGATATCACCTCACATGATCTCGGCTCAGATAACCCTCTCCGGTGTCCCTGTCAGTAAATGGCACCTGGATCATTACAGATCAGATAATTTGTCATTATTCTTAAAGAATTGGGTGGTTTTGACTCGTTTACTCGAGGTGCAGGTCGCATTTCAATACTTTTCCATAGGCTTGCAATGTAAAGGTCACGACTCTGACCTAACCTCAGGTCACAGATAAAAAATTCTGAGATATACAAACGACACATACTGCAGGTACTGTTTTGAAGACTTGATGAGAGGAAATAACTTCGTGAAAAACTCAAGCTCTGACGTGTTTGCAAACTTTTCTGAGGTGGGGTCAACAAACCCGCTCTGGTTACCTGACCTGACCTGACCCGGCATTTTTTTTTTTGCTGAGATGTGCGCAATGAGCATTAAGGAAAAGTCACCAAATATGAGCTTAATGTCTCGCGGCGTTTGGCAATTGTACAAGAAAATCCTGAAAGGTCTCCCCGTCCGAAATAGGGTTAATGTGTATATGAAGAGTTGCAGATGCCAAACATACCCAGATCTAAGACTGCAGTTCCCAGCGCCGCTGCAACGTTTTTAAAACAAACATACATAGGACATACAAACATGTTTATTTGCATCTGTTTTGGATAATAGCAACTCATGGCACCATCACTCGCGATAACTGTTAGGATTTGAGATATATTTTTATTTAGGCCATTAGTTTGGCTGTAATGTTCATTAATATTAGTTGGGCGGAGTTTGGTAGTTTTTTATTTAACTTGTGGTATGTTGTGCTGATTGCGGGTTGTTCAAACCTTTCAAATGTAAGGACCTTATTGAACCCAACCCTACCCCTACACTACCCTACATACGACTGGACGCTTTCCAAGCCCACAAGCATCACGACGCCGAGATGGAATGTAGCCGAGAAATCACCCTCGCCATCTGCTCTAGAGCTAATCGTGTGGGGCGGCGTGTGGGGCGCCGCTTAGCCTATGGGGGTGCACTTCTAGTGGTTGGGGGACGGGGGTGCACCTGCACCCCTTTCATATGGAAAGTTACTTCCCTGATTACAGCTCCCCGTATTGCACCTAGTCAGGGAACGGCCAGCAAACGAAGGAACTATTTCTGGATGACAGGCGAATAACCGTCCAAAGTGGCCAACAAAGCAGAGACAGAGGCAGCATCACATCTTCCATCAAAGAACTGGTTTCTGGCTTGGAAGATGAGCTCCATCTTTGCATCCGAGTCGGTGCTGTCAGGAATCAGCTGGTCTAATGGAGTGAGAGTAGTGAGACGACTAGCTATTGTATCAGAGCTGCCTGGTCTTCGTAGCATTTGCACCGATTCTTCTCGATCGGACTCTGAATTCTGTCCCTCCTGCGTATTACTTGAGGCATTGCTATATGTAGCTAAGTCTTTGGCAGAGTTTCATTATCCATGCTTTGCAAACAGTGCCATAACAACACAGTTAATTAATCACCAAGCTTCTTTGCAAGTTCCAATACAGTTGAATCGCACGCGATTTGAGTGCAAAAATCAAGAAAAGTGCCAACTTGTTCCCGTAAAATATTTTGAATATTGACCTAAAAAAAATGAGTAATTTCCAGATAAAATAACAGCGAAATCAGTTTTCGCTTGCCAATAAAACTCACAGATATTGAAGCTCCATTATTAAAGGAACATTTTAGTATATGCCATTCTTGATAAAACTTCTTAGCCACGCAATACCAGCGCAAAATAAAGAGACACTGAAAACACGACCAATCACTCCGATTTACCATAGGAAAATACATAGAAAATGTATGTCTCAACTGCGCCAAATATACAGACAGTTATATACCTACATGTGACGTCATGATTAGCCTGACCAATCAGAAGCAAGTTGTTTTCAGCCACAAATAATTAATTTCTGAACTAACTAGGCATTTTTATAACAAAGTGATTTTAAATTAAATCATTAAAAATTCTGAGCTTTTTTATTTTACCAAAACATACAGAGCATGCAGATAGGTCCCAACCCTATTCAAATTCCGTTTTTTATACCTTTTTTGGCTAAACTGGGCTTTTCTCCTCTAGCGCTGGGAGAGTCAGGTCAGGCGTATTTTCTTTTTGCAACCAAAGAGAGGCGCTGCCCGGAGAATGTCCTATTTCATCATTAAAGGGACACTCCCACCTTCAAAAAAGTTAATGAATTGGCACGAAAGTGATGTCGCTCGGATCAGAAAGAGCGAAAACGAATATCTACCAAATTTCATCGAAAAATATTCACCGGTTTTCAAGATATTAGACTTTTACTTTTGTTTACTTTTGGGATCTTCGCTGTTCCTAGCGACTTTATTTGAAAGTGCGGCATTTGTTGCGCGCAAAGCAGCATATACCACCGCGTGCTACCAAACGTTTTAGTAAAAGATTTAAAAATCGTTAGATCTCCGCTGACGTCACAAATTCTAAGGGGGCATACCAATGCACTAGCCCCTTAGAATCCGAAAACTGCAAGTTTGAAATTCCATATCTCCGAATTAAAGCATTTGTCGATGTTGTGAGTGCCCAAACCGGTATTTGCAGGCCATGGCCACCAATTTGGCTATCTCAACTCAAAACTAATGTTAAGGTGGGAGTGTCCCTTTAAAAAACTGGCTTACGATGACCAGCTATCTTCGTGGCTTAGTAGTAAGTGTGCCGAGTGTATCCACCTCGAAATCTAAAGGTCGCTGGCTCGCAGCGGGTCAGCCTGAAGTGTTTAATACGCATTTGTTTTTTCAAGTAGCATCTGGCCAGCCGGCAACTGTCGTGAGGGCTAAAATTCGTATCTAGGTAGCATTTGGCCAGTCGGCAACTGCCGTGAGGGCTGTACATATTTACGCGTGTTAGATTAGGTCAGGTCACGTCAGGTCAGGTTAGGTTTGCTTTGTTTTGGGGTAGAAAGAAGCATCTCCGGGTAGCGCCTCTCCTTGGTTGCTAAAACGAAACACGCGAGTGCCAGACATTACGAAGTCCAAAAGACAGTTACGTAGTCGTCGGCCCATTCTGAATTTTTTATATGATGTAGCTAATGTATAGGAGAATAAAATATGTAAAAATTAACAAAATCGAAGGGTACCCATTTTTCAGAAAATCAAAATTTATTTTTTTTGAATTTTAATTAAGTTCACTAATTAGTTAATTACGTCAATATTGTTATCCTCAAATTAAAGCCTGACCTATTCCCTCCATTTCACACTTTGTCTCGTGGTGATATGTCTAAAACTTCTATGGTTATGAGGCTTTAAAGATGATAATGTGCCTTGCCTAAGTCAATGTTTGATGACGTGTATCTCGGAAACGTGACGTCATATCTTGACAAAAATATGTCTCCTTTCTTTTCACATATAGATGAGCAGGTTCACAAAGTTTCGCAAAAATCGGAGGAAGTGAGGTTCAAAATGATCATTTTTTGTCCCACTTGACGTGGAATGCCCCTATACGGAATTAGATGAAATTGCTCTTGGAACTGCCGAACACCCCCAAGAATTGCGCTATAATGTCTGAATTCGTTTTTAGCCCAAAAACTACATGTTATACAACTTTGTAAATAGAAGCAAAAGTTACCATTTTCTAATAAAGTTAACGTTTTATTAATTTTGAATAAAACTACGAGGGGCAGAGTTTTGACATTTTTCCTCCAGTTATTTCTACCCATAACAAATGAATAGAGACTAGAGTTATTTCACTCACTTTTTATTAGACATCGTACAGGTGGGGGCGGCCAATTTACACCACCGGCCAAATTACCCCACTCTCCCCTAGCAGTCTAGGTAAATACCATCATTTAATATAACATTTGTCAATTTAACAAATACATAGGCATTTATAGCTGCATGAATCCTGGGTAGTCACAGGACGCGGTACGAGGCGATAAAAGTAAACAGTGGCCGCCCGGCGGCCAGGTACGATTGTATCTGTCATGGTGAGCTCACCCGAGCACGCAAGCCTGACGAATCGAGGCCAGCAGACGGGCGAAACAGACAAAGCCCGAGTCGGTGTCGATCGCTTCGACGGGCAAAAACAAGAGTCTACCCGGACATCGTAGTAGTTTCTACAGGACATAGTGCAGTCCCACATTGACATAGCTCGATTATGAGTTGAGTCGCTGTTATGAGACGTCGTTCTGCAACCAGCAGACTGTCGGGCGATAGAGGGCCTTCTCAGATGCGGTGGCGCGGCTCGACGTGACGGCGCACTGTGTGAATCGGCACCGAACGCGGCCGGCGGGCCGCGAGCGCGACCCCGATCCGACCCGCCGCGGCTGGACCCGGTACCAACCTGAACCGGCCTGCCTGATCTCAAACAGGCCCTACGTCCCTATTCATGGCATAAAGTAGCATGTATGATGACACATGTTAGCAAATAAGCATAAGAATCAACGAAAAGATTCCAGGGTAGGTACGTCAATATACGATGGACGGAAATACGCAATATCACTCTTTAGAATTTGATAGCTCCGTTTTATGTAACTGAATTCGGCCAGTGCTGCTGAATCCTATTAACGACATTTAAAACATTGTGCCTGCAGGTGCCGCCCGACTCTGCCCCGGCCCCGCTCCCACCTGATCCCTCGGTGGACGCGCTGCTCTCGGCTGCTCCGGTCGGTGCCGTTCCGGGACCGTCCCGCCGCGCTCCACACCGGCCACCACCGAGCACTGCGCCGCCGGCGGCGGACCGCGCCGCCCAGCGCTGCTAGAGGCCGAGGCCGCGGCGGCACCTGCTCGGCAGAGGGCACCACCGCCGGCCGACACAGGCAGACGGGACCAAACGCACCCCTGGCGCCGCGCCCGGGCCGCGCGGCGACCTGTCCCGCGCCGCGCCGAGCCGTGCGCTCCGGCGGCGACACGCCCAGCCGACAGGGCGGGGGGCTGCGTGCCATTTTGGTCGGCTGGCCGCACGGACCGGCGGGCCGAATGTCGGACGCTGTTGCGCCCGGTCAGCGACTATCGACTGTCGCGCCGGCCGATTACAGGTCAGCAGCTGGAGCTGCTCGGAGACTGCGGCGTGTGCCAGGAAGCTAGAGCGGACGACACACCTCAGGGGCTCTGTGGTCGGCTGGCTGCCTTCACGGGTGCCAGTGGCGAAAAGAAAACTTCCGGTCTCAGCAGCCCAACCGTCCCCCTTATGAACTTCTCTGAACCCACGTCCCCCCTGCGAGCCTTCCCGATTCCACGGTTTCCCTGCGGACCTTCTTGTCCCATTGGTCTGTCCTATACGGACCTTCCTGCCACGGCCGTAGCTTCTTGCCCCCTTGGTCTGCCCTGTACGGTGGAAATCTTCTCTTCTTCTCGGGACTCCCGATGACTGACCGGGAGCTGCGCTGCACAGCCACTCAGAGGCGACATTTCTGTGGCGCCGATGACGGCGAGGCCGGCGGCTATGGCCCCCCTCTGCGGCCACTTCCTATTGGCGCGCGGGCGCCGGGCCGGCCGGCGCCGCGCTGATCCCACCCCGTCTTGATTGGCATAGTTAGGAGAGCCGGGCTCAGGCGGCCGCTGAAGTGGTTCGTCGCCCGGTCCCGTGACCCGTAATGGTATGCGCCGCCGACGCGTCGGCAGTCTGTCGGACGGTGTCCCGACGCCGGCGCACTGTAGGTGTTCGGGCCAGTCTAGACTATCAGACCCCCCCCCCCCCAAAAAAAGTTATTCGCTGTTATGAAAACAAAAAGCATACCAATCGACTACAAAATTCCTTACATTACATACATGACAAGTACTTGGTCATGCATGATGCAACCTATTGGTATAGGAATAAAAGGGCCTCAAACACAAAGTTTTATTTGGGCCGTGGACTAATAAGTGGGTGTTTTAACCCGCGCCCCGTAGGGGGGGGACCGAAACGGCCCCCCTGTCCTTTTCGGTCGATATCTCCTAAACGGCTGGAGATATCGCCACCAAACTTTCAGGACCCCTCCGGGTATCGATTTTACACATTGTGACCAAAAATTTTTCCAGAGGCTATGATAGGTTGGCCACAAATAACGTCAGAATGACGTCATGTTCTGTCATTTTCGACCGAAAAAAGACCTTCGGGAGAAGACCTGTCAGACCTACAGCTTTGAAGATACAGAAAAATGATCAAGACACAAAAGGTGTAAAATTGACAGGGCTACAAAACTGCTATCTCGGATTTTTGACATTTTTGAGTTTTGACCCCCAAAAATCAAAAATGCATTTTTTTGGATATATAAGCCGAAAAATCCAAAAAGTTTTTTGATTTTTGAAAAAACGGAATATATGTGATAGTACCTACCGTCTTCTATCTACATACCAAATTTCAGATCGATACCTCGTTTTTTGGCCAAGTTATAGCGAAAAAACTGTTCAAAAATGATGACGTCAAATTTTCAAACTCAATTTTTGGCAATTCTAGACCTCGTGGAGCAAAACAAAGACCACCATTGGACTCCCCGTGACGAGCTGCATCGAATCGATACCCATTTTATGCAAAAATATCAACTTTGAAATTTGACCTAATTTGACCTGACCTTGACCTGACCTTCACCAAAACGTGACCTAGGCTGGCCCCAAAGGCAGTACCTAACCCACATAATCGCATTTGTCATGTAAAATAGACCATAAAACATGTATCACACGACACTTTCATAATGTGACCCCCGGTGACCTGACCTCGCTGTGACCTGACCTGGTATCAGTGACCTCAGATAGCAAAGTATGTGTTTGGAGAACAATGTACCATCGATGGTTTTCAATAAATTACCAATTTACTCGATTTCACAACACATTTCTTGAAATGCCTGTGAACGGTGAAAATCTGACCTTTGACCTGACCTGTGACGTCATCGGTTTGACCTAGGTCAATGAAATTTGGTCACAAGGTAGTTCCCGGGTGGGGCTATCGAACGCCGTTTAAATTTTGAAAATCGGCCGGTAACTTTCCGAGATCTTAGGGGGGGCCGAAACGGCCCCCCCCCCCCCCCTTACGGGTGGTAGGGTCCGCCGGTAGCCCTACGGGGCGCGGGTTAACAGTCAAAGTATATGCCATGTGAATCCTATATGCGTGAGTTTTCCAGGTCTTTGTTTTTATAAGTTGTTCTGTGACATATGACGATCGATTCAGCGTAAAGAGAAATGAAATAGGGTTGGTCATTAAGCATCATGAGAGATCAACATATCATTACATCGTCTCAAATTTTAAAAACTACGTTTGCAGTCTATTCGTGGTTTCAAGCGTTCAAACATGTGATTTGATGTTGCTTCCATGCATTAGGGTGTATATCAAGGTCAGGTCGGGTCATTTTCGAGTTTTATATGTTTCAAGCTAGCTTTTGGAGCTGAATTCAAATTTAGCAACCAATTGAACACGTACGAAGTGGTTTTGGTGCCTTCGTAGCATGTTACGAAGCTGTCAGAGGCGGTTGACACGTACTACGAATACCCGGCAGGACCCCTACAGGTTGAGCTGACCTGACCCGACACGGCCTAAATCCATAAAGACATCATCTGTGATCAAAAGTAACATGATATTCATGATCAGCACCCCGAAAAAAACCCTTCGCAGCCACACTTTACGACGTTCTAACAGGTCCCCATTTTCCCGACTTTTGGATCTTGACCTGACCTGGAAGGTCAACCGAGGACCCAGGACCTTAGAATTGGGTAGCATCGGCTTCCTCTCGTCACGGGCAAGCAACACGCTCGTTTTTACCGCGAAGCTCTAGCTCGATCAGGGGCCAAACGAGAGGGGGGTCGTAACCCCCCCCCCCCCCCCCGCTTGTGCCGTCGAAGGACGCGAAATGGCCTGTGCCGGCGAGAAGAGATCCGGTAAAGCCTTCAACTTTCAGGTAGAAAATGGTAGACTTTATTAAAAAACTTTATTTGAAATTATTAAATTGGGCAACCCAGAACCTAAATCTTTTTTTTTTTTACTTTACCGAATCAGTCACAATGGTCAATGACAATAATGAATCATCTCAATATTACAATTATGTAGCTAAACTCATTACCATATTGACGATCAACAATAGTGATGGTCTCTCTCAGGTAGCGAAAAGTTGGCATCAAATGTAACTTTGATAGTTGATTTCACGCTACAGGAACTGAATTGAAAAAAATTGACTAGACAGTGGTGTTGGGGTGGGGTTAATCTTGTGAAAACCGTTTTGAGGCCAAGAGGTGGCAGTCTACCTTTAAGGTGGGATGGTTATTGGTCACTTTAACAGGGGCGACTTGCCCATCATACCCTCCACTAACATCGAGACCCAGACAAGTTCTCCGCCCCCATTGAGAGACCATTTTCTCTATCTAATTGTACGCACTGGAAATTGGAATGCTATTGAACTGGCCAAGCAATAAAAAAGTGCGCAAACTTGCGCCATTTATATATCTATAATTCAATTATAGTTATAGTATACAGTTCGCCATTATAGTATGTAGTTCGCCATTATAGTCAGACGGTATAAATGTGCGCAAGCGTGCACCTCGGCAACTATGCAAGATTTTACAATGCACTGTTCGCCAATATCCCGCGCCCCTTTATGGAGCTGCTATTCATAGCCACTTCTAACTCCGAAACTACTGAACTGGGTTCGATTGTCATTCAGAGACCGTAGTGAGGTCCCCTGTCCCCAGACGCCAGTTGGGGCCCCTGAGGCCGGTTTATGACCCTCAAAGGCCAGTGAAGGGCCCTCAGAGGTCGACGTGGGCTCTTAGCGGTCAATGTGGACGCTTGACCGCCAATGAAGGGCCCTCAAAGAGTACGCTTGAAGACCGGTGTGGGAGCTATTAACCCTCGCCCCGCTGGGGGGGGCAATTTGGCCCCCTGTGGTTTTTCTTGAATAACAAGAAAACGGCGGCGCGCAGCGCCGCTTAAGTTTCAGTACCTTACTGGGCATCAATTTGACACCTTCACACAAAATTTCAAGTCTTAGGTCACCTTAGGTCAGGAGTTATTAAGGTCAAACTGAGGTCATGTTCGAGCAAAAATGAGCAAAAACATGAAATCTTGAAACGCTCACAAAAGCTACAGTTACTAAGCAATTTCAAAGTTCTTTATATGGTGATGTAGGGAAAGGACAGTGCTACAAAATTGCTATCTCGGATTTTGAAAACTTTGGGATTTTGACTCCCAAAAATTATTATTTTTTTAGAAAAACACATGAAATCCCAAAAGTTTTTTGAGTTTTGAAAAAAAAAACGGAATATATGTGATATACCCTGCGCTCTTCTATCTACATACCAATTTTTAGATCGATTTCTCTTTTTGACCAAGTTATAGCGAAAAAAAAACTGTTCAAAATTGATAACGTCAAATTTTTAACTCAATTTTTGGCAATTCCAGAGCACGTAGCGTAAAACAAAGACCACCATTGAACCCCCCGTGACAAGTTGCATCGAATAGATACCCATTTTATTCAAAATATCAACTTAAAAATTTGAACTAATTTTACCTGACCTTGACCTGACCTTGACCTGACCCTGGCCAGTACATAATCTAAACTGACTCCAAAGGCTGCCTGACCCACACAATCGCATTTGGAATATAAAATGGACCATAAAAAATGCATCACATGTTATTTCCATTTTGTGACCCTCAGTGACCTGACCTCTGTGACCTGACCTGGTATCAGTGACCTCAAATAGCAAAATATATGTTTGACGAAAAAATACCCCATCAATAATTTTCAATGAAATGAAACGCCCCCCTTAAGCGCGAAACCTTTTGACACTCAACCCAACACAGATTATCTTTGGGCACCATCATATAGCTCATTCTTTTTACTACGCTTTGAGACCAAGAAAAGACACCTGCGTGTGGTATTTAACTCCCCAAAAAGGTTTTTGCATACCCTTACAAAAGGGCGTTTTGCCCCATA